CGAGCTTGAAAAATATGCCCGGCCACGGTGGGATTCGAACCTACGACCTTTGGAATACTAGCCCAATGCTCTTCCAACTGAGCTACGCGGTCAGGACGGTTCGAGTAAGTGATATTTCGGAACAGAATCTAGTTCCTTCGATACTTCAATACTCCTTCGATACTCCTTCGGTTTACTCGAACCGTCCTGACCGCGTAGCTCAGTTGGAAGAGCATTGGGCTAGTATTCCAAAGGTCGTAGGTTCGAATCCCACCGTGGCCGGGCATATTTTTCAAGCTCGCCCGGTGTGGATATACACTCAGAGTAACACCACAAATATTATAATCAGTTATTCATTTCAACGATAAATAACAGCATTCGAAATAGCATCGCCGCATACGAGCGGGCCATTACTCATTAGTATGAATTATTAAGCCTATACTGTTATTGAACAATGGGTGAAAAGATTGCAAAAGATATGGCACAAGGCGCCATATCTTACCTCAAAACACTTATTTTTAACAGCAGACACTCTACTAAAATCTGGACTAACGCAAATTTGACAAGCAATACTATAACCCGCCTTGATTAACCATCCTAACAGAGGGGAGCCATGCACAACTAAAATTCGTACAAGGCGCTCATGCACGTACAAGTGAGAACGATTACGATTACATTATAACGAACACAGTTATACCTCCAAATCGTCCGAGATTTGTTGCCGTTGTGGCGCTGCTGGAGGGTCTTGTTGACTTCAGCGTGATCAAGGCCTTGCGGAGCAGCTGGTGACGCTGCTTGGACAAGATATTGCTCTTCCTCTGCCATGACTCTCAACGAAATTCGTACGGTTCGGGCCGCCCAATTTTTGTCTTTCGGTTAGATTTGTGTCTCCTGACGGAATTCGCGCTAAATGGTGCAATTTCTGCTAGGTGTGGTCATTTTATACATTGCCTGTATCACCTAGCTGATACCTAATCTACATATATATTGCATAATTATACCACATTTCCTTTTACATATGATTACGAGTATTGCGAATAGTTTTTTAATAGTTTCAGAGCTCAGACATCACACAATCTGGTGAATTAAATGATCAAGTGCCCCATGTCTTTTGGAGATAGAGCAAGGTGGGGGTGTAAACAGTATAAATTCATCGGCGCATTAAGATTTTATCAATATATACTATACAACTATACATGTCAAGTACACATTTATGCTAAAAGAGGGCAAAAGTATATATAAAACTGTGTATAGACTATAGTGTAAACAAACACCTCCGAACCAAAATACTTTCAATATTAAACGTTTTAAATATTAGAATACAGAACTGAAATCAAGGGAAGATATTGACTATTAAATGTTCTTCCTATAATTCATTCACATTGACTAAATTTAGGCTCAGCAATTTGTTCAAAGAGACGCGAGTTCTCTGACTGAATTCGAACAAAAAGATGACACAAATTGGCTATTTCACAAAGCTAACTGAATGGCACTTACCTCTTCATAGAATATGATTAAAATGAAAATCCAGTACAAATACCTATCAGTAATATTTAATTTTTAAAAAAATTCATCCGATATTTAGTTAAAACTCGAATTCACCTGTTTTTGATGCCAAGGCCAGTTTTTTGCAAGACATTCTCTGCGAAGCGTGTTGACCTCGGTGTCCACATCCCGAGACTTCTCAACGAATTTCTTCGCCATTTACACAGAACTTCATGAAATCGCACCTGCATGTAGTTAAAATTAAGTTGCCTGGTTGTTTTCCTGTAGATAAAAGTTATCGATGGATACAAGCAAGTGTTAAAATCCGCCATTTCATGTTAAAAGGAAAATCGTTCGCTCCACAACCGCCATTTCGTTCGAAAGCAACCTAAGACCAAAGGACTTGTCAGGGCAGGGTTTTCAGGACTTTTCAGGGTTGTCAGGACTTGTCAGGGTTGTCAGGACTTGTCAGGGGTGTCAGGACTTGTCAAGGGTGTCAGGACTTGTCAGGGTTGTCAGGACTCGTCAGGGTTGTCAGAACTTGTCAGGGTTGTCAGGGGTGTCAGGACTTGTCAAGGTTGTGATCAGCACTTGTCAGGGGTGTCAGGACTTGTCAGGGGTGTCAGAACTTGTCAGGGGTGTCAGGACTTGTCAGGAGTGTCAGGACATGTCAGGGGTGTCAGGACTTGTCAGGGGTGTCAGGACGTGTCAGGGTTGTCAGGGGTCTCAGGACTTGTTAGGGTATCATATTGTCTGCAATATTTACCATGATATATTCATTCTTTGCAGATTTGTGACTGTGAGCAATTGTCAGGGTGTCAGGGTCTGACAGACTAGTATACCTTGTGTAATAAATCCCAAATCTTGCATGGTGTCCAAAGATAAGTCAATGACTCGTTTGTGCGTGTATGTTACAAATACGAATACTGCATATGTTTGACAGTTAGGACATTTAGAGAATGCAGTCCGCATGATAAATTTGATAAATAGCTTTAATTGTGACATTAGCTTTACTGTAATGAAATTACTTTTCTGTAATGAAGTACTTTGTGAAATATAATACTGAATTAAATTATAAGACTATGTAAGTGTTAATATATCTGTGATGGGTACATATATATGACTATATATTACTGCATATACATATCAGAACTGAGTGTGATATCAGTGTTTATGCCGTGGTTTATGCCGTTGTCTATTCCGTGGTTTGTGGAATTATCTATGACTATGTTCATATTATAAAGTGTGTACTGTATATCAGAAAAATACTGTTATAAATATTGCTGTTACCTCATTACTTAGTGCATGGGGGGCCAAAAAATTATCAGGCTAAAGCCGTGATTGTATATACCACCTGATGATACACGCCCTGAGGCTGAAAATTGTTGTACTTTACTACCTGCCAATCTCCTACCCTATACCGATCTACAGGGTTTTTTAATAATAAATACGACGAACTATTTAATTAAAAGTATTTTCAAAGACAAACTATCGACAGTTTTAAAGTAAGCAATACATTGTGATTTGTGACAAAAAGTTACTTAATTACATTTCAAAATTTTATTAACCTTCACTATAAAATGAGACGCGTACTATTAGTAAATCTGCACAAAGTTTATCAACGTTTTCAAACAACAAATCTAATGGCATATTTTCGGAACAGATAAATGTGAAACTGATGTACAAACGTTGACGACTGACCAGTTTGATATGAAAATATGTTTCAAGAGAATACCCAACTTCAAAGTTTAAAGTATACATTTTATTTGTTTCTTGACTTGACTGTTGATAAAATGCTACAGTGTTTTTGTAATTTAAAAGCAAACGGAGGTATAAAATAGAAGTTAGCGGGCGCTTCGAACTATATGTCTATATATCGTAAAATCCCACTCCTGATATTTGAAATTTAACGTTTTCTGTGGAAGCATGTCATTTGATACTTTGCCACTCCCCCTTGGGCAATCAATTTTTGTAGAGTCACGTAACCAGCCGATACCAGAAAGGTCTTTCCCAAAAAGACCTTGGGTACGAGGATGGGAATGGATTCCTTCCCATTTTTACTTTTATGTCTAAAAAGGTTGTACACATGATAATAGGAGCTACGACTCCGAGTGACGAACCATACAGGTAGAGAAAACTCGAACCCACGTCCTTCGGTTTACTAGCCCAATGCTCAATCGAATGAGTTACAGGTCAAGTTGGAAGCATGTCGCTGAGATGGTAGTACTTTTGATATTTTGAAACTCAATCATAATTTTGAGTTCGATTCACTTGAAAAAATACTTGCGCTGCTTGGCTGAAAAAACAAATTTCCTTCCTAGAGCAATTCTTTCACCCCCCCCTTCAAAAATCTAATGGACCGCGCCTAATTTGTTCGGATTGTAGGAAACATAAAGTTTAGATCTTGATGCTAATTGGTCAAATTAGATACCTTGCCAACTCTCTTATCTTATCTTTTTTTCTCTCTTTTCAGGTCTCTTAGATAGTTTTATATTCATGAAATGTTATATTATCTATAACTATATTATTTTGCAAAAAGAGATTACTTTTGTGTTTACGTAGGCAACATGTGCATGCTACCCGCTGTTGGCAATTGTTTAGAGAAATAATTGTTAAAATTTTTGCATGAATTTAACTGTTATTATCTTTTGTGAATTTAACTAGTGTTCGGGAATTTGTCTGTATATTTGATACCAAAATCTTGGAGCTTTTGAACTAACTGGGTTGATTTAACATCATTATAACGTTGGTAGGTATGTAATATCTATTTTTATGATTTAGTTTCAAGTGTAACTTGTGTATTGAGCAAGAGACTTTCGCTGCTTTCAGAATTTGCTTACAATGATAATTCCAACACAAAGGCTAAGACGCAACAGTACATACTCTTAATGTATTTCGATCATATTTTATTAGCTTAGCTTGTGATTATAATTACTTTACTGATTATATATCTATAATTTCTTTATATAATTCGACTACATATTAATAACTTACTGACCGATCGAGAGAGAGGGAAATACGGGAAAGTCTTGCTGTATTGACCGAGCAATAGGGAGGTGTGCAGCGTAATCCTCAAAATATAATATCTGTGAACATTTCGCATGTAGTCCACTCAAACATCGTAATGAATAACCGAAAACATTCATGTAACAGAATAAAGTTATCTCATCTCAATGTGCAGTGAATTAGAAATAGAAATCATTTGATTCAAGTAAGAGAACTGGTCGTTGACGAGAAAATAGATATCTTGGCATTAAGAGAGACATTGCTAAATTCGTCCTCGACTAATGCCGAGGTAAAAATTCAGAAATACAGTATATACAGACTAACAGACTTGATCGTATAAGCATAAAAAGGGTGGCGGCGTATGGATTTACGTCCGTAATGACTTCAAGACAAAAGTTTTGAAAAATCTCTCGTATATTATACTTTGGTTACAAATACAAGTGAATAAAAACAAATGGGATGAACTTAAACGTAAACCCACCGAGGCTTTGTTACTAGGGAAAGAGATCATTATTTTGGGCGATGTAAATTGCAATCTCCTTAAAACATCTTGTAACATCAAAATAAAACATCTTGAATCTAAAATATTATTAAATACTTGCTCCGAACTACACCTGACTCAACTTATTAAAGATCCAACGAGAATTACATCTCAAACAAGTTCGTTACTTGACGTTATTATGATTTCGTCCTCCTCTAAGGTTAAAAGTAGCGCGGTTGTTGACATTGGTATAAGCGACCATTCTATGATATGTTGTACACTCAAACTTAAGGCTGATAAGCCTCGACTCAACCTCCTTCCCAGGGCTTTCGTGGAGGGCGAGGCGGAGAGTGTTATATTTATCGTATTTTAATATCAAAACATAAAAAAATATGAACTTCAACCAAATATACTTTAGACTACACTAATAAGTACTTATCTCCATCGATACTTCCTCCGTTAAGGTTACAGAACACCTTGAGTGTCAATTTTGCCGGCTAAAATTTTTTATTGGTTTCAATGAAAGCATTAGACTAGTTCTACTACCTGACCAAGTTTGAACGAAAAATGTTGAAAACTCGCAGAGTTATTTAATGAAATACATTTCGCTGCAATAAGAAAAACATTGAAAATGTAATATTCAAATTCAATTTTCTCCCGAAAAATTTTACGGTAGTTACAGATTTTCAAACGAGTTGTGCTCCTGCTGGTTTTAACCAATTTTCTCAAATTTTCACAGGACATAGCTAAATACGTCAGTTTCAAAATTCTGTTCGTTTTTTTTAAAATTAATTTTGGATATTTTAAAAATAACGAACTATTCACTCAAACGATTCAGAAATATATTGCAGTCGTCAAAGAAATCGCCATATCAGCGGAATGACGAAATAAACAAAAATTTCCGAACACTATTTTTTAGAACAATTACTTTACTGTATAAAAATGATATTTTCATAAATATAACTTAAAACCAGCAGGAGCACAACTCAAAAGCGTAACGGTACCGCGATTTAATATTTTCCTGAATAATTCTTACATATACCAGTATTTTATTGTTTGTTAATTTTACAACTTTACCATATTCTGCGCGCGCTGGAGAACATTTGGTCAAAATTTGATGAAAATCGGACTGATATTGAGCGCGCAGTAGCGATTTTCCACAAAACGCCAAAAAGGGTGTCCTGTAATTTATAACCTTAACAGCTGCTATACGTCTCGATCGAGTGTCATATTGTCTCTGAACTTCGCCCGTATCTTGAACTTCGCCTGTGTCTTGAACTTCGCCTGTGTCTTGAACTTCGCTTGCATCTTGTACCTCGCTTGTGCCTTGAATTTCGCTTGCATCTTGTACTTCGCTTGTGTCTTGAACTTCGCTCACATCTTGTACTTCGCTTGTGTCTTGAATTTCGCTCGTATCTTGAACTTCTAGAGGAATCGGATGTTGAATGGGCCTTCGTAATACCACGGTCTTCTTATTGTCATTGCTCAAAACTCGGACTTCGGCGGAACGAATAACTTCATCCTTACTTCTACCTTTGCTAACTTCCAATAGATACGAGCAGGATGTATTTTCGTTCTTGAGAATGACAATATCACCTGCCTTTACAATGTTAGAACTGTTGTTCTGTACTCTTGATGATTCTCGGATGCTCAACAAATATTCTTTTCTCCCTTGATATGTAAAGTTCTTAAGAACTGTAGCTTGGTACTTGGCACGTTTCGTCAGAGATTTGTTCGTACTTACAATCCGTAATGACTTTCGTCAGGAGACGTTGCGATTTGACGTCCATAAATCAAACTCGCTGGTGTAAGAGGATAAGAAACACCTTGCTCGTCGTCGTATACATAGGTCAATGGACGATTGTTTAAAGTTGCTTCGATTTCTACAAGAATAGTTCGCAGTTCTTCGAATGTCAACGAGGTTCGTCCAATCTGTTTTTTCAAACAGCGTTTGGTGCTTTTGATTAACCATTCCCAAAAGCCGCCATGCCATGGAGCCTTTTCCGTTATGAATTCCCACGAAACACCTTTGTCCGCGATCAAGATAACCCTTTACATTGTTTGAACGGTAGATCTTAGCTACTTCCTTTGCAGCGGCTTTGAAAGTTTTCGCATTGTCAGTTAGTATTTTCTTGGCATCCCTCTTTTTGACGCCGAAAGGCCGTCAAAAACATGTTCGAACAAATTGGACAAATTTTTCAGTAGTTCTAAATGTACGGTCCTTGTAGACGCACACGTGAACAAATAAACGTAGGATTTTACAGTTTTCATCGTTTTCATTTACGAACAATGGTCCAGCATAATCAATGCCAATGTTTGTAAAAGGCGGTGCATCGCTTACTCGACAGCTGGGTAATGATGGCTCTCTTGGACTCTGAAACGCATTTCCTTCAATCTTCTTACATATAACACACCTTTTCAAAACACGTTTAACTGCTTCTCTTCCTCTTAATACTCATTACGTCTCTTGTACGCCATTAAGAGTTGACTTAATCGTCCTCGTTCTAAGATTTCTTCGTTCAAAAGTCCTTCGGCTTCATTGATTAACTTTGTAATAACTCCTCTGTTCTCCCCGCGTACGGCTCGTATTCGCGTTAATTTCTCCTTCATGAGTTCGGTCATTTTTCGATGAAATTCTGCCCCACGTTGGGCGCCATGTTATAGTTATCGTATTTTAATGTCATACATTAACAAACAAAACATAAAAACCTAAAATATAAACTAAAGTTCGAGTAAAATCTCTTTTCGTATAAAGTTCTTCGTAAATATGTGTTCTTCTCGGTTGGGCCTGGGTCCTACTTAAGGTAGCTCGCATACTATTATACACCAGACTTCTTTACAGAGAGGCGAGAAAGCCCTGGTCTGGGCCGGTCAATTTTGCATTCTGATTGGCTAACACCATATTGTCTAAAAATAGCTGGACTTGAGAGTTGACAATAACAATTCAACATATGTATTTTTATGATTCTTGTGTGTACGAGTATATTTTGCAAAATAATCTTTCAAAGTAACGTGAGCTGTGATGTTTCCTGAAAAAACAAGAAACGTCTACTTTATAGTCGGTAGACTACTGCGTAGTTTTCTTTGTACAGTATTTATAATGTAGTGCAGATGTCTGATGAAATACTACGCGTATTGCAGCATTGTAGTAATACTTTAATGTACAATATTCCATACTGACAAATAAAAGCAAGACAAACAATTAAATGAAACTTCTAATTTAGGCCCTGTTTACCTAAATAGCTCTACGCCGTAGGCCGATGTAGTCGGTACAAGATTCGCTTGTCGCGACATCGAGTTTTATAATCTCAGAATACCCCGAATACTTGAAAATTACGACTATACGATAAAATAAAACGGCAAAGATTGTGAAGGGGATAAAATTTGTAGGCAAGCGTTCCAAAGCAGAACTGTCTCAACTTTCGTTTCATGAAAACCAATCCTACTAATGATGTACAGTGCGAACCTCGTTATTAGTAGTTCAAACGCAAATTGTCATAAAAATTTATTGAATTTACGAAATATTGGCTGAAAACTCTACACAGCTGCTCAATTTATCAAATATAATACTATAAAAACTGTGAATGAAGTTTAATTAAAGAAAGTATATAAAAAAGGGTTTTATATAGCCTATTATGTGCTTTTTTTACTGAACCACGATATTAGTTATATTTCAGAAAAACCATGTTGACAGCGTTCAAAACAAATAAACAATATGTTACTGTCTCAAATTTTTATTGATATATAAGTTTTTCAAGTTTTTATAAATTCAAATACAGATTTTTAGAAATATACACGTTGATGAAGTTGGCAAACGTAACAATACAAATCATAGAAAAAGTTTATTTATTAACATGGGCCCTGTGACGTTTGATGTCTTCAAAAATTCTGTCATTCACTGAATCAGTCACTTTCCTGATGGTGGACTTAGGGATGGTGGCTGCTGATTCTTTGATGGCCATTCACAGATCATCTTTTGGTGAGTAATGCTTGCCATTCGCATAAACATGTCGCTTTATTATTGACCACAAGTTCTCTATTGGGATTAAATCTGGTGAGTTTGGAGGCCAACTATGAGGGTTTCATTCACAAATCCACGTGAGTGAAGAAATTGCGTTACCGGAAAGACCACAAAATATTAGCCAATGAATTTAAGGAATATGTTGCTTCTGTGGGGAAGATTGCAGCCGACAAGGTCAAGAGACTTGCGCAAGTTAACAACATTCAGATAACAACTGCTTTTACAACCTTCGAGACAGCGATCTTCTCTTGATCTGTTTGAACTTAGAACAGTCACACCTGATGAAATTAAAACAATAACTTTAAATAGTCCATCAAACAAAGCTCCAGGTTCCGATAAGGTAAATATTCAATTTATTAAAGATTCACTTGAAGTGATTTTAGATCCTGTTACGGATATTATCAACTGTTCCTTGATGACGTCAACATATCCTTCAATGTGGAAGATAGCAGAAGTGGTACCGCTACACAAGGGAGGGCATCCTGAAATCGGTTCAAATAACCAACCGATTTCACTGCTGTCATGTTCGGCAAAAATATGCGGCAAAGTCGCATTGAATCAGTATGCAGAACATCTAACAAACCACAGATTATTGAAGGAGTATCAAAGTGGTAACCGGAAAAAACATTCCACCGAAACACTTAAAATTGCAGTGACAGACATGTTGTTGGAAGCTATGGACAATAAAGAGTTATCTATAGTTATATTGTTGGATATGTCGAAAGCCTTTGATAGTGTTGATCACAACATGCTTCTTCAAAGAATTCTAAACCTAGGCGTATCTTCTGCAGTGCATAGGTGGTTTAAAAGTTACTTGTCTGAAAGATGGCAGTATGTTAGATTTGGAACTACCTCTTCGGCGCCTGTTGCATTGTCGTATATGTGGAATTACTCAAGGCTCTGTTCTATCGTTGTTTTTATTTAAAATAAACACAGATAGCTTGTCTTCAGTTCCTAACGGTTGTAGTCTTGAATCTTATGTTGACGACTCGAAAACATTTCTATCGTTTTCATTATCGCATATGGAACGTTCGTTACTGCATATAGAAGAGGATCTACACAGAGTTTATGAATAGTGTTATAACAAAACTCTTCTTGTAAACCCAGAAAAGACCAAAATGTTGGTGGTTGCATGGTACACGGCAACTCATGAATCAATTGGAATCTCCCGTCCATATTAATTTTATGGGGGAAAATCTTACACCTGTGACAGAGGTTAAGGATTTGGGTATGCTTTTGGATTCTCATTTAACGTACGACAAACACATACAATCATTGTCCTCATCGTGTATCTTAAAATTGCGTCAGATTAGTTGCGTGAAACACAACTTTGATCACTCAACACTAGCCACAATCACGGATACATTAGTCATGAGTAAAATTAGCTATTGTTCAACAGTATGGTCTAATACGTCAGACAGCAATATGAAAAAGATTCAATTAGTCCAAAATTGAGCAGCCCGATTAATCACAGGGGTGCCTAAGTATGATCATATATCACCCACACTAACGTTAGGATGGTTGTCAATCAAAGAACATCTATTGCACAGAGATGCGTTATTAACATTTATTATAAATGCATGAATGACAAAGCTCCATAGTATTTATGTGATAATTTTGAACAACGAAACAGCATTCATAACCTAGATACTAGAAGAAATGGAGACATGGATATTCCAAAATTTAGGTCATCGATCGGTCAAAGATCGTTCAAATACCGAGGGACTAAGATATGGAATGGTCTAGATACAGAACTGAAATCGATTAGTGATTTGAACAATTTTAAGATGAAACTTAAGACAATTCTTATTGAGAAGCGATGTCCTTCTTTTTAACTTTTTAATTCATAAACTATAATATATAGTATAATTTTAGTTCACGTAATAACTTTGATAAGATTGTTGTAAATATAGTCGATAATTCATAATTTCTTTTAAAATCTATGTAAATTGTAATTGAAAAGCCCATTTTAGGGCTTGTTAATCAAGAAATTCAAATAAATTCAAATTCAAATACAGCAATACCAGGGTGTCTATAAGAAAGTGCGGTGAAACGCCAGTGAAGCAGCTGAAACATGTGTGATGCACTTTAGGCCTGGGACCTAGTATGCACAACAAGGAGTTCTCGGAGAAAACAAAAAATTTAAAATTTTCGACAGGCTTCATTAAAACGATTGTAACTTGGCAGTTTTTGATGCGGTGTCCGAGATACCTTTTTCTTGTGCTACACAGATCGTTAGCTACCGCTGTAGTGCCGAAAAATGTTTCTGTAACAATCACCGAAATATTTCAACTTCAAAACTCATTCTCGTACCCAGAGCCCTTCTTACGCGCGGTAAACGGAGCGCGACGAGGGGCTCTGGCCAAATCCAAACCAGATACCATAAAAACATGGTATCCGGTTAAACACTGCGCATTCTCAATAGACTTTCCTAATTCTTATGTGACGTCAAACGCGGATAAACACCTCGCCTTCGATTATCTTGTTTGTTTTGTTTTGAAAGTTTTTCTCCAGGAAAACCCCACAAAAGCGGTGGGTTTCGGTAATTTTATTTATTTAAATCAATTAGTAGGTAAGACGTGATGTTCTCAATGTATGTTGATACAATTTAGTATACATTCCCCCTTAAACGTTGTCAAAGTGACTGAAAAACAGCAGTAATGGCTACGGATACGAAGACGAGAGATTGTCTCACTATTTTATTTTTTTTTATTTTAAGTCGCTGCTTTACGGATTTTTAAACTATTTTTTGTGTTTATTAAAAGTCAACAGTCATACATAAGACATACTATATCGCAAATCCTCTGAAAATTGTAAAATCGGTTTTTAAGAAGAAAATAGTCATCACAAACTTCATATTCTGGCTGGCTTATTTTCTCTTCAGATGGCACTTCAGCTTTGAACATAAAAAATTGAGATGCTTGCTGTGGCCCAAGAAGCTGGAAAAATTGCACAATGACTGCCCTATCTAATAGGATCCATTTCACATGAGTACGGTAACACAACTTTTTGACCCTTTTTCACAATTTTCGCTCGAAGTCCACATCCCAAAAACTAAAATTATCTTTACAGCGTTTAAAAGTGCTCAGGGGAATGTGATGAGTAAACAAAAACGAAAGGCGGGAAAAATAAACTTATGAATATACAAAACAATACGCAAAATTGATCTGAATACACAAATGTACAAAGAAAAATACGAATACGAAACCAAATAAACCATAACCTAAACAAAACCATATCGTTTAATTACTTAGAATTGTCCAAATATACTATTAATATAACAAAAAGTATATATGTTTTAGAGTAAAAACCTATTTTACCACAGCTAATGCCGAAACAATCTCGTTCCCAGAGTATGCATGTTCGCGGGTTAGGTAGTGGCATGACTCTGGGGAAATCGAATCGAAATCGTTATTTGATTGGCTGCCGTGATCATCAATGCTGCCGACACAATTAATGCGTGTTTTTTTGCGAGAATTACGCGTGGACATACGCGAAGAGAGAATAATCAATGTTTATCAGATTTGGAAAGCGAAATCAAACAATATAAATCGAAGGAACCGAAGGATATAATATTAATCGTATGAAAAAGTATTGAGAT